AGGCACATAATCCCCATATCCACTGGGCCACAGGGGAAGTTGACTTTCAATCTGCCTATTATCAACAGCATTTCCTGTCAAGATGTCCAGTTTAGACCTCGACCTTACTATGCATGGACTCTAATAATGAGCTTTGTCTAATGGTTCTAGAGGCATATAATGAGTTCCTAGACATCTCCAACAAAAAGGGAGCCAACGCCTTGCCACCTCACAGATCCTATGATTGCCCGATTGAACTATTACCAGGGGCAGAAATTCCTTTTGGACGGATTTTCTTCCTATCAGAAAAGAAACTCGAAGCCTTGAAAGAGTACCTGGATGACAGCCTCAGCAAGGGATTTATTTGGCCATCCACTTCTCCTGCCAGAGCAGGAATTTTCTTCATAGAAAAGAAAGACCACTCTCTTAGGCCTTGTGTGGATTATATGGAATTAAATAAAATTACAGTAAAAAATCGATATCCCCTTCCTTTAATCCCTGAACTGTTCCAGAGACTCTGATTTGCCGTCATATTCACCAAACTGGATCTGCGGGGAGCCTATAATATTGTACAAATTAGGGAAGGGGATGAGTGGAAAACAGCCTTCCGTACATGGTTTGGGCATTTTGAATACCTAGTGATGCCCTTTGGCCTGTGCAGAGCACCAGTTGCCTTTCAATACTTTATCAATGACATCTTTAAGGATATTTTTGTCGTTGTCTACCTTGATGACATACTGATTTTTTCCATTTCCTTGGAACTCCACTGTGTTCATGTTAAAAAGGTCCTGGGTTGGCTCCAACAACACGGATTGTATGCCAAACCGGAAAAAGAGAATTTGCATCCAGTTCCTAGGATGAATTATCTCTACAGAAGGGATCAAGATGGATCCATAAAAAGTGTCCATCATCCTGGATTGGCCGGCTCCAACAGATAAGAAAGGCATTCAGTGGTTCATTGGCTTTGCAAAATCATCAATGTTCATCAAGGGGGTTTGTGCTATCATCTCCCCGATTACGCAGTTAACCAAGCAAGGCATACATTTCCGCTGGTCCTCATAAGTGCAAGCTGCTTTTGAAAAGCTTAAGGGACTGTTTACCTCAGCACCCATTTTGAGTCATCCTAACCCTGCACTGCCATACATCTTTGAAGTAGATGCCTCTGAGAATGCTCTTGCGGCAGTCCTGTCACAATGACAGGGATTAAAGACTTTATTACATCCCATTGCATTCTTGTAAACTCTCACCTGCTGAAAAGAACTATGATTTTGGTGATCGTGAGTTACTGGCAATTAAATCTGCTTTGAAGGAGTGCATATACCACCTGGAGGGTTCAGCGCTTCCTATTTTGTTCTACACCGACCATAAGAACTTGAAATACCTCAAAACAGCTAAGAAAATAAGACCACGTCAAGCCAGGTGGGCACTGTTTTTCTCCAGAATCGTGTTTCATATTACCAGCCCTGGTCTAAGAACGTTAAACCAGATGCTCTGTCACACATGTTTGATGATCCCAAGCAACCACCCTCTTCAGATACTGTCCTGTTGGCTGGGAATTTCTTGTTGTTACAGGCAGACCTTGTCACACAGATTAAACATGACTGTGGAAGCCTCATCACCTCCAGGAGCTCCTCTTTCAGCCAAGGAACGATTGCTGAAGTGGGAGGTTCTTTGTACCAGAAGAAGTCCATTTGGCAGTGCTGGAACTGTTCCATGTAAAAAATAGTGTAAGAATAAATAATTGATAATGTGCAAAAATAGGAAAATCATAAAATAACACAATCATAATAGTGACTAGTGAAAGTGTTGGCAATATATTCATATAACACAGTGACAAACAATAATAGTGATGGGGTCACCTAAATGACCTTAACAAGTGACACACACAAAAAAAAAATGCATGAAGGAAATGTGATAGTGTCACTTCAAATCTCATGAATAAACACTCTAATAGTCCATGAATTGGAACAATAAGTGTTTTAAAACATGCAACGTGCAATACGTGATGAATTCGTGAAAGTGCCAGCACACACTTTTTCCACTCCAGCTGCAGTGCCTCCTCACCTCCTTTATGTGACCACAAAGGGCCAAAAAGCATTCAGGATCTCCCTGGATCCTTCAGATCACCAGCTAATAGCTCTCCTCCTTCAATATATCTCCAGCAAGCCTTCAGGATCACCTATGGTCCCCTGATAATGATCCTCCTCCAATATCTTTCCACTGCAATCTCCAGGACCCTCTGTATAGGTGCTCTGTTCTGTTGAAGATGTTCCAGTGTCCTGTGAGCCTGTTTAGGAAAACTGCAAATCGTGCCCTTAGGTGTCTTGAGGATGAGAGCCCAACTCTCATCCTCAAGACACATAAGAGCGCGATTTGCAGTTTGAGTGCCACCGACAGCTGCCCCCCATACCCGGACGCACATCTGCATCCACCAGCAGAAGATCTATTAGGCCCTTGCGCCACTCTGTGCTCTCGTGCTCCTGTTACATTACCAGGGCTCCTGAGCCAGAGCTGTAAGAGAGGCTTTCCTCTATATTTCGGGCTCCATCACCAGGTACGTTACAGCTGATAATGTACAGCGAGTGGGTACCAGAGGGGTCGGTTCCTTTGGACCCCTTAATTATATTATCCTTAACTTTATCTTTTTGTTGGAAAAAATCTTCCCTTCAGTGCCTCCTTTTAGAGTTGCTAGATACTGCCCTGAGTAGCTGTCTTCCATTGCTGTAACAAGTACAGTGGGGATCGAAAGTTTGGGCACCCCAGCTAAAAAATTGTATTAATGTGCATAAAGAAGCAAGGAAGATGGAAAAATCTCCAAAAGGCATCAAATTACAGATTAGACATTCTTATAATATGTCAACAAAAATTAGATTTTATTTCCATCATTTACACTTTCAAAATAACAGAAAACAAAAAAATGGTGTCTGCAAAAGTTTGGGCACCCTGCAGAGTTAATATCTTGTACTGCCCCCTTTGGCAAGTATCACAGTTTGCAAACGCTTTTTGTAGCCAGCCAAGAGTCTTTCAATTCTTGTTTGAGGTATCTTTGCCCATTCTTCCTTACAAAAGTCTTCCAGTTCTTTGAGATTTCTGGGCTGTCTGTCACGCACTGCTCTTTTAAGGTCTATCCATAGATTTTCAATGATGTTGAGGTCAGGAGATTGTGAAGGCCATGGCAAAACCTTCAGTTTATGCCTCTTGATGTAATCCCCCCTGTGGATTTCGAGGTGTGTTTAGGATCATTATCCATTTGTAGAAGCCATCCTCTCTTTAACTTCAGCTTTTTCACAGATGGCATCAAGTTACCATCCAAAATTTGCTGAAATTTTATTGAATCCATTTTTCCTTCTACTTGTGAGATGTTCCCTGTGACACTGGCTGCAACACAACCCCAAAGCATGATTGATTCAACCCCATGCTTAACAGTTGGACAGAGGTTCTTTTCATTAAATTCTGTGCCCCTTCTTCTCCAAACGTACCTTTGCCAAAAAGTTCAATTTTAACCTCATCGGTCCACAGAACTTGTTTCCAAAATGCATCAGGCTTGTCTATATGTTCATTTGCAAAGTTCAAACGATGATTTTTGTGGTGAGGACGTAGAAGAGGTTTTCTTCTGATGACTCTTCCATGAAGACCATATTTGTACAAGTATCTCTTTATAGTGGAATAGTGTACCACAACTCCAGTGTCTGCCAGATCTTTCTGGAGGGATCGTGCAGTCAAGTGTGGGTTTTGAATTGTTTTTCTCACAATCCTGCGAGCTGTTCTATCTGATATTTTTCTTGGTCTTCCAGATGTTGCTTTAACTTCCACTTTTCCTGATGACTGCCATTTCCTTATTACATTCCGAACAGAGGATATTGACATCTGAAAACGCTTTGCTATCTTCTAATAGCCTTCTCCAGCTTTGTGAGCGTCAACTATTTTCAGTTTCAGTTTTCTAGACAACTGCTTAGAAGAACCCATGGTGCTGATTGTTGGGGCAAGGTCAGATGAGTCTGGGCATTTAAAACCTTTGAGATTGACATCACCTGGTCTTCCCAGACGATGATTGAGAACAATCCATGACACTGGCAGGTCTCAGCTTGGCAAAGGGGGCAGTACAAGATATTAACTCTGCAGGGTGCCCAAACTTTTGCAGATGCCATTTTTTTGTTTTCTGTTATTTTGAAAGTGTAAATGATGGAAATAAAATCTAACTTTTGTTGACATATTATAAGAATGTCTAATCTGTAATTTGATGCCTTTTGGAGATTTTTCCATCTTTCCCTGGCTTCTTTATGCACATTAATACAAATTTTTAGCTGGGGTGCCCAAACTTTCGATCCCCACTGTACCAGCAGCTGCTGCTACTGAGAAAAGTTGCACCACTCTCCCATCCCCTTCTAACCTCTCTGCTATTTACAAAACCCCCATTGCTAATGTCCTAAAATGCTTAATGTATTATGAATGGGCAGGGGAGATCCTGTCATTCAACTGCTCCTCCATTCACAGAACGTGATGCATTGTGAAACAGTAATAGCATTTTTAGTACTGTGAATGGTGGAGAGGGCAGAAGAGAGTGGGTCAGTGGCTCAACTTTTCTCAGTAGCAGATGCTTCTGTTAACTCTAATTGCTCCAGAAGCCACAACCATTCAAGGCAGCATCTCCTGGCTCTGAAGGACTCATGTAAGGAATATTTTTACCAGAAGCAGCCACCTACAGGTAAATGGATACACACTAAAATACACCATCACACATACACACAAAACTGCATAAGGAGCACCTTATTTAACTACTTGCCAACCGCAGATAGCCAAATAACGGCTACACTGCGGCCGGCTAGTTCTGGGAGGGCGTCATATGACGTCCTCCCAGAACGCGCTCTCCTGCGCGCCCCCAGGGGGCGTGCACCCGGTGATCTCCATGATCGCTGTGTCCTACGGACACAGCTGATCACGTGATGTGGTAAAAGGCCAATCACAGCGGCCTTTTACCACGTGATCAGCTGTGTCCAATGACACGCTGATCACCAGGAAATGCAATTGCCGGTTCTTGGCTGCACTTTCCTCACGCTGTCAGATCGTGAGGAAAGTACTGCCGAGAACCGGCAGTTGTCAGAGCAGGGATCGGCACAGATCATCAGGGCACTGATGATTAGTGCCCTGATGATCGGTGCCCAGCAGCGCCACCTACCAGTTCCGCCCACCTGTGCCCAGCAGTGCCGCCCACTAGCTCCGCCCACCTGTGCCCACCAGTGCCACCCGACAGTGCCCAGCAGTGCCCACCAGTGCCACCTACCTGTGCCCAGCAGTGCCACCCACCTGTAACCACCAGTGCCACCCACCTGTGCCCACCAGTGCCACCCACCAGTGCCCATCAATGCAGTCCAGCAGTGCTGCCAGTCAGTGCCACCAGTCAGTGCCTAGTGGTTGTGCCAGTCAGTGCCCAGCAGTTGCGCCAGTCAATGCCTAGCAGTGCCGCCAGTCAGTGCCCAGCAGTGATGCCAGTCAGTGCCACCTATCAGTGCTGTCTATCAGTACCCATCATCAGTGCCGTCTATCAGTGCCGCCTATCCGTGACACCTCATTAGTGCTGCCTATCAGTGCCGCCTATCACTGCCCTTCAGTGTTGCCTATCAGTGCCCATCAGTGCCGCCTATCAGTGCCCATCAGTGCTGCCTCATCAATGCACATCAGTGAAGGAGAAAAATTACCTGTTAGAAAAAGATTATAATAGAAACAAAGAAACTTTTTTTAAAAAATTTTTTTTGCACACTTTTTGTTTATAGCGCAAAAAGTAAACCGCCCAGTGGCGATTAAGTACCACCAAAAGAAAGCTCTATTTGTGAGAAAAAAATGATAAAAATGTCATATGGGTACAATCTTGCATGACCGCGCAATTGTCATTCAAAATGCGACAGCACTGAAAGCTGAAAATTGGCCTGGTAAAGAAGGGGGTATAAGTGCCCAGTAGGCAAGTGGTTAAAAACAGGTTGCCTGCACAAATCAAGGGAAACTTGTTATGGACTAAAATAAATAAGAATGTTTGTAACCCAGCAGATGTAAAAATATAAGCCATGTCTTTGCTCAGAATTGCTGTGAAATCCCCTTGGCATTTTTTCAAAGACCAGTTGGCTCTGGCATGTGATACAATTACCAGTTTCCATATGTAAATCGGAATATCAAAGCAGCCTAAGTCAAATTAGCACTAACTCAGCAGGCAGAAAATAAGGGTATAGGGCAGTCTGAGTAGCTATTTAATGAAATGAGATCTGCTTACTTCGCATCCAACTTACAAACATAGCACATATAACACAGATTAAGAGCTGCAGAATTACCATTTTATGTTACTGTCTTTCTTTTATCGCTAAAATAAATGTTGTCACCATATGCCTTAGTTTAGGAAAGCTCTCAAGAGCATTATTAAGTAGCGCTACTGGGAGGAAACAACCCTTTTAATGCCTACAAAAATTCACCCACTTGTGTATTAAACTGAAGATAGAAAAAATTTAACTTAACACTTAATTTCCAGTTGAGAATCTAGAATTCTGCAGATAAACTAAATGCAAACTTTTTTAGTTTTGGGTGGAACACCTAGAACACCTGTCAAGTTTTTATTTCTTTCTGTGCAGTTGTTAGGAAAATTCACCCTATCAATGTGTCCTCTTTACCATTATCACCAAAAGTGAAAGAAAAATTCCAAATTTTGAATTATCACCTTAACAGGGGAAGACAAAAAGGACACTAGTTCTGGTGACTCTGGTAACGACCAGGGATTCCCTAATTTTGGAAGAATTTCCTCTCACTTCCTGCTTAGGCTTTGGGACAGGCAGTGAAGGGAAATCTCCCCAATGGGACACATATTACAGCTAAACACTGACAGGGGTCATAACCCTCCCTTATTCTATTTGAAATGTAAAACCATTTTGCCTTTAGTTCTACTCTAATTAACTGAAAATTCAAGTAGGATGTGGAAGAAAGTGGTTCATTTAAAAAGAAGAGGTTTGGTCGTATGTAAATTGGAACTGAGTATGGCTGGGAAAATGGTAGAAGATGATTGTGGCAGGATGATGGTAGAGAAGGAGAGGATAAAAAAGTGTGGAAAGAGGAGGCAGAATAAGAACTGGGTATTAAAGGGTGAAGAGAGAGGAGGCTGAGAGGGAATTGATCATGGATTACAGAGATGGATGAAGTATGAACTGTCATTTCTTCCTAGTGGGGAGGAAGGCCCAGGACAAGGGGGCAGAAGAGACACATGACCTGGGCACAATTTTATTATGCAGAGGGAGGTTCAGTGGGAGCTTGCTGCACAGGAACCTTCTTCTCCACTCTGGACTTTCCAGCCACCACTTGCTAGATCGAGAGTAGAGTGAGCAGCGGTGTCCTTGTCTGCACAGTCTCCACTTCTTACCACTCCATCCCCACGCATCCGTTGCTGCCACCACTATAGTCTTTACTGTCATTGACTTCTAGGACCGCAGGCATCTTAGTAACCAATGGTACTCTTACTTAACCTGCACAGCAGAATAACACTTCCTCTGTGTAAAGCTGGTCTGCCTCCCAGCTTTGCCTCCCAGACTTTGGTTCCCACTTCATGAGGGAGACTCTTATCTAAGGGGGAGACTCCTGATCTATATGGGTACTCCTGATCCAAGCTGCCCGCTCTGCTGTGTTTTTGTTTAGTAATGAAGGGAGATGGCAAAACAGACAGGCTCCTCCTGAGCCTTCTCTAACCTGCAGCTTCCAATGTTTGTCAGGCGAGAGGGGTGACAGGGCACCGGTCGTCACGTGATTGGCAGAGATAGAGCGTGGTTAAGTCAAACTGAGGCCAGAAGACTAGAGATAGGCAGCGAGGAGAACAGAATGGTAGTGTGTGCCTGGAAAAGCTTTCACCGGCTTGCCCATCGAATGTAGGTGGTAGTATTGCTGCCAGCTTGGCTATGACTGTCTCTTTGCTGGATTGGGCTGTCTCTTTGCTATGTGAAAGCTGTCTCTTTGCTCTATTTTGATATCTCTTTGCTTAATTGGGGTGTCTCTTTGCTATATGGAGCTGTCTTTTTGATGGATTGGGCCGTCTCTTTGCTGGCTTGGGCTATTTCTGTGCTCTATGTAGCTTTCTCTTTGCTGGATTGGGCTGACTCTTTGCTATGTGGAGCTGTTTCTTTGCTTGATTGGGCTGTCTCTTTGTTGGATTGGGATGTCTATTTGCTATATGTAGCTGTCTCTTTGCTGGATTGGGCTGTCTCTTTGCTATATGGAGCTATCTCTTTGCTATATGGGGATGTCTATTTGCTATATGGTGCCGTCTCTGTGCTAGATTGTGATGTCTCTTTGCTGGATTGGGCTGTCTTTGCTGGATTGGGATGTCTCTTTGCTATATGGAGCTGTCTTTTTGCTGGATTGGGATGTCTCTTTGCTATATATAGCTGTCTCTTTGCTTGACGGGCCTGTCTCTTTGCTATATGGAGTTGCCTCTTTGCTGGATTGGGATGTCTCTTTGCTATATGGAGCAGTCTCGTTGTTAGATTAGGATATCTCTTTGCTACATGGAGCTGTCTGTTAGCTGGATTGGGCTGTCTCTTTGCTGAATTGGGCTGTCTCTTTGCTGGATTGGGATGTCTCTTTGCTATATGTAGCTGTCTCTTTGCTGGATTGGGATGTCTCTTTGCTATATGTAGCTGTCTCTTTGCTGGATTGGGATGTCTCTTTGCTATATGGAGCTGTCTCTTTGCAGGACTGGGGCTGTATCTTTGCTACATGGAGATGTCTCTTTGCTGGATTGGGGTATCTCTTTGCTATATGGAGCTGTCTTCCTGCTAGATTGGGATGTCTCTTTGCTGAATTGGGCCATCTCTTTGCTGGAATGGGCTATCTTTGTGCTATATTTAGCTTTCTCTTTGCTAGATTGGAGTGTCTTTTTGCTATATGTAGCTGTCTCTGCTGGATTGGGCCATCTCTTTGCTGAATTGGGATGTCTCTTTGCTGGATTGGGCTGTCTCTTTGCTATATGTAGCTGTCACTGTGCTGGATTGGGCCATCATTTGCTGGATTAAGATGTCCCTTTGCTATATGGAGCTGTCTCTTTGCTGGACTGGGCTGTCTGTTTACTATATGGAGCTCTGTCTCTTTGCTGGATTGGGATGTATCTTTGCTGGATTGGAGTGTCTCTTTGCTATATGGAGATGTCTTTTTGCTGGATTGGGATGTCTCTTTGTTATATGGAGCTGTCTCTTTGCTGGATTGGGCTATCTCTGTGCTATATGTAGCTTTCTCTTTGCTTGATTTGATGGGGCTTTCTCTTTACTATATGGAGCTGTCTCTTTGCTGGATTGGGATGTCTCTTTACTATATGGAGCTGTCGTTTTTCTGGATTGGGATGTCTCTTTGCTGAAATGGGCCATCTCTTTGCTGGATTGGGCTATCTCTGTGCTATATGTAGCTTTCTCTATAATTGATTGGGCTGTCTCTTTGCTGGATTGGGATGTCCCTTTGCTATATGGAGCTGTCTCTTTGCTGAACTGGGCTGTCTGTTTGCTATATGGAGCTGTCTCTTTGCTGGATTGCGATGTCTCTTTGTTATATGGAGCTGTCTCTTTTCTGGATTGGGCTATCTCTGTGCTATATGTAGCTTTCTCTTTGCTTCATTGGACTTGGCTGTCTCTTTGCTATATGGAGATGTCTCTTTGCTGGATTGGGATGTCTCTTAGCTATATGGAGCTGTCTATGTTGGATTGGGCTGTCTCTTTGCTGGATTGGGTTGTATCTTTGCTATATGGAGCTGTCTCTTTGTTGGATTGGGGTATCTCTTTGCTATATGTAGCTGTTTTCTTGCTGGATTGGGATGTCTCTTTGCTGAATTGGACCATCTCTTTGCTTGATTGGGCTATCTCTGTGCTATATTTAGCTTTCTCTTTGCTAGATTGGGCTGTCTCTTTGCTATATGTAGCTGTCTCTGCTGGATTGGGCCATCTCTTTGCTGGATTGGGATGTCTCTTTGCTGGATCGGGATGTCCCTTTGCTATATGGAGCTGTCTCTTTGTTGGATTGGGCTACCTCTTTGCTATATAGAGCTGTCTCTTTGCTGGATTGGGATGTCTCTTTGCTATATGTAACTGTCTCTTTGCTGGATTGAGATGACTCTTTGCTGGATTGGGATGTCTCTCTGTGCTATATGTAGCTGTCTCTTTGCTGGATTGGGCTGTCTCTTTGCTTAATTGGGGTGTCTCTTTGCTATATGGAGCTGTCTTCCTGCTAGATTGGGATGTCTCTTTGCTGGATTGGGCCGTTTCTTTGCTGGCTTGGGCTATCTCTGTGCTAAATGTAGCTTTCTCTTTGCTGGATTGGGCTGACTCTTTGCTATATGGAGCTGTCTCTTTGCTTGATTGGGCTGTCTCTTTGCTGGATTGTGATGTCTCTTTGCTATATGAAGCTGTCTCTTTGCTGGATTAGGCTGTCTCTTTGCTATATGGAGCTGTCGTTTTGCTGGTTTGGGATGTCTCTGT